TTATATATATATATATATATATATATATATATATAAGTATTCGTCTATGCTCCCGCTGTACTTCGCCTTTAGCTGAGGCAGTCAAAGCTCTCCTGCGAAGATCCTGTCGTCTTCTCTCCCCACGCTAGTAGTGAGTGGGCCTGCTGGGGATATGCGCGCTCGTTGCAAATCGTGTATAGTCGTTGATCGTACTCGTTCAGATACATACAAGTAACTTATCAGAGAGTGAAACATGGCTAACACAAAGGTAGCCAAAAGTAACAATAAATTCTCACGAAAACAAAATCGATTTCGCCGGAGAAAATAGCCTAACAGCTATTCTCAACTGAATGATACGATAGACATGTACCGCTGTTCGACAGGCCACCACTAACCCATACTACAGGCGAAAACAACGCACATGAGTTGTTCAAGCATTAGAACTCAAGCAAAGTCTGACTGAGGTTTTGTACGGGAGTTGAACCTATTTGTGGTGGCTCATTGTTGAGGCCAGATTAGTGTGTGCTTTCTCGTTGTTCTACGTAAATGCACTTTTCCACTTCAGGTGATTCCTTAGAAAAATGCCAATAGGATGTAAAGTGAAATGTGGTCATCTGTAAGAAAGCCCGTTTTACCTGATTTTTTGTGCTTGATTAAACTTCACTAAACCCAGAACCCTGATCTGAGTCGGTTGGTACAAATTGCGCCAACGAAACGCTGATCACAGATGAACAGGTGATCACCAGACTTAATGAAAGTTGACACTAGAGATTACACATATTCAATCTAAGCACTCAAGGGCGATCAACTCGGTCAAACAGACGTGGCCAGGACGCGTAGGCGTCCGACCCAAGCCACCATTTTACCCCAAATCGAATAAGTTAAGTACCTTACCGCTTTCTAGCTAACAAAAAAAAATACAGTTTGGTGATATGGCAAGAAATGAAAAAAGAAATCAGTACAACCAGTTTAAGCACACGGTCAGCTTTGGTATGCCCCCGAACCGCTACCTGAAAAAGCAATTCGTCTGGTGTGACAGTCCCAGGAGAAGCTGAGTAGTGGTCCCTTGGTTGGAACTCCCTTCAGATGATATGGTAACTGGACACATTCTACCAATCATAAACGCCAATCCACTTTTTCCAAGAAGGAAACATACCTAAACCATGCTTTTACATACCGCGAAGTCGTCCCGATGACGAGATTTTCAGCAACTGTACGAGTTAGTAAAAGTTACCCCCACAATCAAATCTAGATGTGGAGGCCTGTAAGTAAAAGGGAAACAGCTAACAGGATAGTTCCGTCAAATTCAACTCTAAAGCACTACTAAGCGCATAGGTCTAAACAGCACGACCCAGTCAAGCTCCAAACAAGCAGGAAATATGCATGCGGTTGCAAGATAAGCAAGTCTCAGTGAGTTGCTACTGAGTACTGGATAGTTCACAAATCTTGCACAAAAGCATCTCGCCACAACTGTGAAATATACGAAACCGTCCACCTGAGAATAGAGCGACTAGTTTATTCATTTACGCTCTATAGCATTACTGCGTTTCTGATAGTCAGTTCAAACAGCGAGCTAGAAAACATGAAGCGAATGCGTAAAATGGAAAGCATGGGTTATTGAAACAAGGAAAGCGATGTCAGCGCTGCAAGTCAATGGAGCAGGATAACCACAACAAAAAACAAGTGATACGATAGAATTATTCCCTCCCCGAACCAATAATCGGATCACCATATTGTTTTCCCTGTTACAGGTATCACGCTTGCATCGGTATATCTAATTTGTTGATAAAACGACTCGTTTCCGGCCGTCGCCTGGTGTGGTCTCATTACGCTAAGTTAGACTCATCAGCTGTACCAAGGTCATGGAGAGTTCAAGTGAAAATTGAAGGGGTACAGCTCTAGAATTGGGCTGTTCCATTCATATGGAACATTTTCGGTACGAGCAGCTTCTTGGTATTTTCTTCTTGCTAAATATGGCATAGAGTTGGACCGATGCAGTCAGTACGGAGAATAGCCGTTTTATCAAAATACTTTTTTACAGAATATCAGTCCCAAGTTTTGGTCCGTTATACAGCTTATCTAGCTAAAAATGGAAAGGGAAGCCCAAAACAACTGTGTACGACTGGAAACCCGACAGCACACAATGTCAGAAAGTATCAAATGATCACAAACCGCTGCATTAAGAGTGTGATATCCTGGAAATTACACCGAACGGTAGCTGTTGTGGGAAATGAAACGCGATCATGAAACAGTTCCCACGAAAGAGCTACTATATTTTGTGCGCCAGATTTAAATAGATCGTTTAGCTGTAGCGGCCCTCTGGCGTCTAACTGCCAAGTCACCAGAAGGAAGCACGAGGGTTGCCCAAGCCTGAAAAGAGGAAGTCGAGAAGCAAAGGTCGGGTTCGAGCCCACGGACCTCTCTCGCGCTCTTACAACTGAGTCATCTCGTTCCAGATCTAGCCTCATGACTTTCAAGTGCACGTGAACGGCGATAAAAACGAACTAGTCACTGGTATCTCTCGTTTCGGAGTAATTTAACAAGTTCTAAGAGAAGTATAAATGTACATATAACAAAGATAGCTATTAGTCAAATCCAGATAATCCCTTTGGATCACCGCGCACAAGCCGCAAGATCAGGAAGACAGTATCAAAAGCCATAGCTCGGACACAAAACAGCTATATAGGACGCGAATGATCTCGTCCATGACTGCCTGTAATTACCGGTATAGCTCGTCTCGAAGTCCTGACATCCAAGTGGACTATATTCGCTAGCTTGACTAAGTATACTGGTGACGGGTTCCTTTTGTACATGCATTAGCTCTAAAGCGGGCGACCTCTTCATGGAAGGCATTAACGCTACATCTAGTGAAAAGAAAGTGCCTGCAGAATGAGACATACTAACAGGTATCCCTGTATTTCAAGACAGAGTGCGCAAACGGTGTGGAAGAATCCTGGAGTAAGCCTGGTGGCTGTGGTATCGAGGGTGCTCTGGTGTTATCCATCGAAGGTTGACTGAACACAGGGAGAGGTAAACTCGCGAAAACCAAGACGCATCATTCACACTTTAAACCTCCGGCAGTGTCCATTGAACAAAGGTGTCCTCACAAATATTTGATCCTCTTTAAGACACTGTAGACCACCTTCCACAGACTCGTGGTCAGCGGCAACACTGTCATCTTTCACCCTTACTCTTCAACTTCACTGACATGATTATGGAAGACACTCCCGGCCTCTATTGTCTGTGGGGTCAGAATGCTCCCAAGGCATTCACTCAGATATCGAGCAGTCTGACAACATACCTGTTCTTGAATCTGACGCCGGGGTAATGCAAACAATAGTTGAAAGATTCTGCACCATGGTTTGGCATGCTCTTCACACCTTCAAACCGTAAAGTGCTACTGCTCATGCTTGCGAATGAGCCCAATTCGTCTACCCCGGCGAATATATCAATCTCAGGAGTCTCGCGATAGACGATACTCCTATCAGGATTGGGAAGGACAGAACAGCCTTTGTGAAACTGCGTCACTTGTGGTGTGGGTGTGACACTAGCCCATATGTCAAAGGTCGAGTTTACAACGCCGTCACGAAGAGACTAGACCTTACCGTCGTGTGGCGGTTTGTGTACGACCCACTGAACTACTGAGGGTATCCGCGCGACACTCAAAGTCTCATACCAATTTGTTCAGTGGGTAGAGGTAGACGAACGTCTTATGGTCCTCCAATTGGGGTTTGAACATGTGTAGCGACGTGTTCCATAGAAATGATAATGTACTCACATTTCCAGTCCAACACCACCGCCTTGCGGTTAGGCTTTTGAGCCAAAGGC